GTGTGTGGGGAGCGATGGCGCAGTGGTCAGCACGGGTTGGATTGCCGCTCACGGCCAATGACAGCGGCGAATATCCGAACCGTTCCTGGACCTCCACTAGGTCGACTCGGCCTCAAAACACCGCCACTCGGTTGACAAAGACGGCCGGGCGTGGTGGTGGCGGCCTCCGTAAGCGCCGCTGCCTGCTAACAGCACTTGCCCCGGCAGCCTGGGAAAGGCTGCACGGGAGGAGGCAGAGGTCGCAACCGGGTACCCGATACCCGTACCCTACCCGGCAACCCGTACCCGGCCGGGTACGGGTAGCCGTTTGCGACCCTGGTGTGGCCGGGTACGGGTAGGCCGTGAGTCACTGGTGAGTAACGCTTTGTCACTCATTTCGGGTAGGGTACGGGTAGGGAACGGTTTACCCGATACCCGGCCGGGTACGGGTACCCATTTGCGACCCTGGTGCGGCCGGGTACGGGTAAGGAATCAAAACCCGTTTGCGACCTCTGGGAGGAGGGGATCTTTGTCTTTGCATGTACGGCGGATGCTGGACACGCAACGCCCCCCCCCCCCGACTCTTGCGAATGACGTCACCAGGGATCTTTACCGTCCCGCTGTGGAGCGGTGCGGACTGCGCCAGGTCGAATTGCTACGACTAAAAGGCGCCACGCCGCAGTGTTTAAAAGATAAACGCATTTTTATTTTATTTTACCAGGTAAGGCCCCGCCACTGAGCTATATTTAGTGGTTCTTTTTCGGGAAGCGACTTGCCCACAAACGATAGCCGAAACGAAGTGGGCTCATCATCATCATCATCACCACCACGTGGACATTCATAGCAGCTAAGTAATTCTAAACGAGCGATGTCGGTTCTGCACGTGGAGGGCTAAACACCGGAGGCTCCGGAGAAAAATCCACGCGGCCACGGGGAGAGAGACGGAGAGACACGCAAACTCCAAATATACAGCAGCAGGCGTCGGGGGTCGTGACTGCACCCACGACCTCCTGTATACCAGGCGAGCTAGTTAACATCTCCTAGCCACCGTGATGATGATGAGAGAGAGAGACACGCAAACTCCAAATATACAGCAGCAGGCGTCGGGGGTCGGGATTGAACCCACGACCTCCTGCGTACCAGGCGAGCTAGTTAACATCTTCTAGCCACCGCAGTGTTGACCAGGGCTGCCGCTGGATTGGAACCGTGAAGGCCACGTCACCGCCCCATGACGTCATTTCCCCCTCAATCCGAAGACATTTTTGGGGGGAATTAATCTAAAATCGGGGAACATATCCCCCGTAAATAAATATAGTGTATACGTGTTATATGTATATGTATAGCGTGTATATAAGAACATATGTGACAATATGAATCCTGTTTAGTGTAATGCATGTTGGAAACATGTGTAATGACAACAGAGCCTGCATGCAGTGTGAGTGGACTAGTGGCCACGGGAGGTAATGACAGGAGTCAGCCTGCAGTGAGAGTGGACTAGTGGCTACGGGAGGTAATGACAGGGGAGTCAGCTGTGAGTGTGAAGGGACTGGTGGCCACGGGAGGTAATGACAGGGGAGTCAGTTGTGAGTGTGAAGAGACTGGTGGCCACGGGAGGTAATGACAGGGGAGTTAGCTGTGAGTGTGAAGGGACTGGTGGCCACGGGAGGTAATGACAGGGGAGTCAGTTGTGAGTGTGAAGGGACTGGTGGCCACGGGAGGTAGTGACAGAGGAATCAGTTGTGAGTGTGAAGGGACTGGTGGCTGCGGGAGGTAATGACAGGGGAGTCAGCTGTGAGTGTGAAGGGACTGGTGGCCACGGGAGGTAATGACAGGGGAGTCAGTTGTGAGTGTGAAGGGACTGGTGGCCACGGGAGGTAGTGACAGGGGAGTCAGTTGTAAGTGTGAAGGGACTGGTGGCTGCGGGAGGTAATGACAGGGGAGTCAGCTGTGAGTGTGAAGGGACTGGTGGCCACGGGAGGTAATGACAGGGGAGTTAGCTGTGAGTGTGAAGGGACTGGTGGCCACGGGAGGTAATGACAGGGGAGTCAGTTGTGAGTGTGAAGGGACTGGTGGCCACGGGAGGTAGTGACAGGGGAGTCAGTTGTGAGTGTGAAGGGACTGGTGGCTGCGGGAGGTAATGACAGGGGAGTCAGCTGTGAGTGTGAAGGGACTGGTGGCCACGGGAGGTAATGACAGGGGAGTCAGCTGTGAGTGTGAAGGGACTGGTGGCCACGGGAGGTAATGACAGGGGAGTCAGCCTGCAGTGTGAATGCACTAGTGGCTACGGGAGGTGATGACAGGGGAGTCAGTTGTGAGTGTGATGGGACCGGTGGCCACGGGAGTTAATGACAGGGGAGTCAGTTGTGAGTGTGAAGGGACCGGTGGCCACGGAAGGTAATGACAGGAGAGTCAGCTGTGAGTGTGAAGGGACTGGTGGCCACGGGAGGTAATGACAGGGGAGTCAGTTGTGAGTGTGAAGGGACTGGTGGCCACGGGAGGTAATGACAGGGGAGTCAGTTGTGAGTGTGAAGGGACTGGTGGCCACGGAAGGTAATGACAGGGGAGTCAGCTGTGAGTGTGAAGGGACCGGTGGCCACGGGAGGTAATGACAGGGGAGTCAGTTGTGAGTGCGAAGGGACTGGTGGCCACGGGAGGTAATGACAGGGGAGTCAGTTGTGAGTGTGAAGGGACTGGTGGCCACGGGAGGTAGTGACAGGGGAGTCAGCTGTGAGTGTGAAGGGACTGGTGGCCACGGGAAGTAATGACAGGGGAGTCAGTTGTGAGTGCGAAGGGACTGGTGGCCACGGGAGGTAATGACATGTTATATGTACTGTGTATATATGTTACAACATTAATCCTCTTGTCTTAGTGTACTGCATGGTGTATACATGATATATGTAAATGTACTAAGTTTAACACGTAGTAAGCTTTCGCGACCAATATTATTCATAATAAAGGTTTTTGGGTTAGATCGCGTTAAGTATAAATGCAGTGTGGTAACCCTCCACCGCCCGACACAGCCAATTGGTGAGGGATTTGTCAAGGAAACAAAACGCCAAATAGTTACGACTGCAGCCCCACCAGTGTGTTGTAGAGTGAATCCACGACATTTACAATTTGAGTCATCCAGCATCATCGGGCGATTTGCCAGATCTTCCAGGGTGTAAATGTACTGTGTATATGAACTGTGTGTTTACATGTGACGATATGAATCATTGTCTGAGTGTACTGCGTGGTGTATACGTGTTACATGTACATGTTCTGTGTGTATATGAACTGTGTGTATATGTACTGTGTGTTTACATGTGACGATATGAATCATTGTCTTAGTGTACTGCGTGGTGTATACGTGTTACATGTAAATGTTCTGTGTGTATATGAACTGTGTGTATACGTGACGATATGAATCATTGTCTTAGTGTACTGCGTGGTGTATACGTGTTACATGTAAATGTTCTGTGTGTATATGTACTGTGTGTTTACATGTGACGATATGAATCATTGTCTTCGTGTACTGCGTGGTGTATACGTGTTACATGTAAATGTTCTGTGTGTATATGAACTGTGTGTTTACATGTGACGATATGAATCATTGTCTTCGTGTACTGCGTGGTGTATACGTGTTACATGTAAATGTTCTGTGTGTATATGAACTGTGTGTATACATGTGACGATATGAATATTGTCTTTGCATTGCACGCAATTGTAAAGCGTTGTGTATCTGACATGGTTTGCATATGTACAGCATTTAAATAGTACATTCTATAAAACGTCTCCTTCTCGATAATTCAATCCTCATAAGTGTACATATTTACAGCGTGTGTGTCCGACGTTTCGCGCCACGCGTAAGGGGGACCCTTCTTCAGGAGCGAGTGAATTGGGCGAGTTGAGTCGCTGAGCGAGTGAGTGGGCGGGCAGGTGGGTAGGTGGTTGAGTGGATGGGCGACTGAGTGGGTGATTGAGTGGGTAGGTGGGTGAGTTAGGTGAATGATCAATAGGTGATTGAGTGGATAGGTGGTTTAGTGGATGTATGAACTGGTGTTTGAGTGAGTGTGTAGGTGGTTTAGTGAATGGCAAATGAGCGGGTGGTTGAGTTGCTGAATGACCGAGTGGTGAGGTGAGTGGGTGGGTAGGTGGTTTCAAGAATGGGTGTTTGAGTGTGTGGTTGAGTGAGTGGGCAGATGGTTTAGTGGATGAATGGGTGGGTAGGTTGTTTCGTGAATGGGTGTTTGAGTGGGTGGTTGAGTGAGTGGGCAGGTGGTTTAGTGGATGGGAGACTTAGTGGGTGATTGAGTGGGTAGGTGGGCGAGTTAGGTGAATGATCATTAGGTGATTGAGTGAGTGGATAGGTGGTTTAGTGAATGTGTCTATGAACTGGTGATTGAGTGAGTGGGCAGGTGGTTTAGTGGATGGCGAATGAGCGGGTGGTTGAGTTGCTGAATGACCGAGTGGTGAGGTGAGTGGGTGGGTAGGTGGTTTCGTGAATGGGTGTTTGAGTGGGTGGTTGAGTGAGTGGGCAGATGGTTTAGTGGATGAATGGGTGGGTAGCTAGGTGGGTGAGCGAGTGGGCAGATGGTTTAGTGGATGAATGGGTGGGTAGGTAGGTGGGTGAGCGAGTGGGCAGATAGTTTAGTGGATGAATGGGTGGGTAGGTAGGTGGGTGAGCGAGTGGGCAGATAGTTTAGTGGATGAATGGGTGGGTAGGTAGGTGGGTGAGCGAGTGGGCAGATGGTTTAGTGGATGAATGGGTGGGTAGGTCGGTGAGTGAGCGAATGGGCGGGCAAATGACCGAATGGGCGAGTCGCTAGGTAGTTGAATGGACGGGCGGACGAGTGGGTTGGCGAGTGACTGAATGCGCTCCTGTGGAGTCACTCCCAAGGACACGGAGCGAAACGTCGGTACATCGTGCCAAGCGACACACACAGCTCCACTGGAGAGAACCAGGCAGCGGCACAACCGCAAACGCCTCACAATGCAGCGGGAACCTCTAAAGACTCCATCATCATCAGCATCATCATCAGCATCATCATCATCGCCGCCGCTGCGGAATTTAATAACTTACGTTGAATAAATACGGTTAATAATCTTACGAGGAGCAGTGCACGACATTTACAATAACAATGAAACCGATCACTGCACCGTGGTGGCTCTCGTTCGTAATGGCAGCGGTGCGGGTGTGTTTGTCGCGAGGACGTTACGGGGATAGAGCCTGGTGTAGCTACCTTGGCTGTACCACCGCCACCACCACGACCACCACCGTCGCCACCGCCACCACCAACGCCACCACCGCCGCCGCCACCACCACCGCCACCACCGCCACCACCAAACAAAGATCCCCCTGTGTAGCCTTAACAGACTGTTGGGGCAAGTGCTGTTAGCGAGCAACCACGCCCGACCGCCTTTGTCTCCCCAGTGGCGATGTTTACACACCGCGCAAGATAATCATTGGGGGCCGAGTCGACCCAGGACCGGTTCAGATTCGTAGGTGACCAATCAACTTCAAGGACAGTGCATACATTATCAGAGTTGTGTTTTTTGTTTGCATTACGACTGCAGGTATTGTGGTCTATGCAAACATGACTCCTTGTAAAAAAAAGGTGTCAGTTTTGTTGCCAGATAAAAGGGTAAAAAAACAATTATGGGTCCACGACGTCGGGGATGATGAAATGGCGGCGGCGGTTACGGCGGCGGCGACGACTCACCATCACCGCACCTCCGATCGGCGTGGCTTAGCTACGTACGACGCGACACAGGTTCAGCGTACGGACAAACGGGGCCGTCGCGAGAAAAAACCTCCCCGGTCGTCCTCCCGCGGCGGGCGGCTCTTGGCTCGGAGGAAGGCGGCGGCCACAGCTAGGGCCGTCTGGAACGTTCTTCCATCCGACATGAAGAGGCTGCCTGGAGCTCACGCGCTTTCCAGTCACCTGCGTTTCAATAAACCAATTCCTTTAGGACTGCTTTTCGTGTCTTCTTGTCCCGTCTCCCCGCGCAACTCCGATTCGCTACGTTGAGGTCCATCGGACGTACACACGGTGAGCGGCGGGGAGGGACGCGGAGGGAGAAGAGAGGAGAAAGGAGGGAGGGGAAGGGAGCTGCATGGAGGAGGATGTAGTGTGAGAGTGTGAGTGAGTGAGAGTGTGTGAGTGAGTGTGAGTGTTAGGGAGAGTGAGTGTGTGTGTGAGTGAGTGAGTGAGAGTGTGTGTGAGTGAGTGAGTGAGAGAGCAGGCGTGTGAGTGAGTGTGTGAGTGAGTGTGTGAGTGTGTGTGAGTGAGAGTGTGTGAGTGTGAGAGTGTGTGAGTGTGAGTGAGTGTGAGAGTGTGTGTGTGTGTGTGTGAGTGAGTGGGAGTGTGAGAGAGTGTGTGAGTGATCAGGCGAGTGTGTGAGTGAGTGAGTGTGTGAGTGAGTGAGTGTGTGAGTGAGTGAGAGAGTGAGAGAGTGAGTGAGTGAGTGTGTGAGTGTGTGAGTGAGTGAGAGAGTGAGTGAGTGTGTGTGAGTGTGTGTGTGAGTGGGTGAGTGTGTGAGTGAGTGTGAGTGTGTGTGTGAGTGAGTGAGAGAGTGAGTGAGTGAGTGTGAGTGAGTTCACACATGAGTGTTGCTCCCACACAGCTCGTAGAAGAGGATGTAGTGTGAGAGTGTGAGTGACTGAGTGTGTGAGTGAGAGTGTGAGTGAGTGTGAGTGAGTTCACACGTGAGTGTTGCTCCCTACACAGCTCGTAGAAGAGGATGTAGGCATCGCTGGACACGACTCGACTCTCAGGCACCTCCGTGACGCTGAGACAGAGCAGAGACAAAGACAAAGGTCTCCCGTGTAGCCTTAACAGACTGTTGGGGCAAGTGCTGTTAGCGAGCAGCACCTATGAAGGCCGGCACACGGCACACGAGGGGGTGGGTGGCCAGCACCACGCCCGGCCGCCTTTGTCTCCCCAGTGGCGATGTTTACTACGCACGGCACCAGGTACTCATTTGAGGCTGAGTCGACCTAGGGGAGGCTCAGAACCAGTTCAGATAATCGTCACCGATGGTGATGGTGGCCGTGAGCGGGAATCGAACTCGGGTCGGCGGGTTGATAGCGCGGCGTAGCGCTAACTGCTGCGCCACCGCTCCCCCAAGACAAAAACAACAAAAACAGCAACAACAACAGCAAGCGCCGCTAAGTGGCGTTGGCATCACCACGGCGCTCGTGCCAGGCTATGTGCACATGAAGGCCGCGCGAAAAGCAAACACACGAAAGACAAAGACAGACAGACAAATGGGGATATGGATGTACGTGCGTGTGCGTGTAGGTGCGTCTGCGTGGGTGTGCGTGCACGTGGGTGTGTGAGGGTGTGCGTGGGTGTGCGAGGGTGTGTGTGCGTGTACGTGCGTGTGTGCGTGTGTGTACGTGTGTGTACGTGTGCGTGTGTGTGTGTGTACCTGGTGTCGTTGTAGAGGTACCAGGAGCCGGACTGCGCGTGGCGACAGAGCGACACGTAGTGGCCACACTGCATGGAGCGTGCGTGTGTGTACGTGTGCGTGTACGTGCGTGTGTGTGTACGTGTGTGTGTGTGTGCGTGTGTGCGTGTGTGCACCTGGTGTCGTTGTAGAGGTACCAAGAGCCGGACTGCGCGTGGCGACAGAGCGACACGTAGTGGCCGCACTGCATGGAGCCCGTGTGCAGCGACACGGCGTACAGGTCGTAGAGCGCACACGCTGCACACACACACACACACATACACACATACACATACATACACACACACACATACACACATACACATACATACACACACACACACATACACACACACACACACACATACACACACACATACATACACACACACATACACACACACATACACACACCATCATCACCATCACTACCATCATCACCATCATCACCATCACAGCGACACGGCATACAGGTCGTACAGCGCACACGCTGCACACACACACACACGTACACACACACACATACATATACACACACACACATACACACACACACACATACATACACATACATATACACACATATACACACACATACACACACCATCATCACCATCACTACCATCATCACCATCATCACCGTCACAGCGACACGGCGTACAGGTCGTACAGCGCACACGCTGCACACACACACACACAGACACACACACACCATCATCATCATCACCATCATCACCATCATCACCACCATCACCACCACCATCACCATAGCGACAGGGCGTACAAGTCGTACAGCGCACACGCTGCACACACACACACATACACACACAGACACACACCATCATCATCACCATCACTACCATCATCACCATCGTCATCACCACCATCACCACCATCACAGCGTACAGGTCGTACAGCGCACACGCTGCACACACACATACACACATACACACACCACCATCATCACCATCATCATCACCATCATCATCATCACCACCACCATCATCTTCACCATCATCGTCACCATCATCGTCACCATCATGACCATCATCACCACCATCATCACCATCATCACCACCAACATCACCACCATCACCCCCTACCACCACCACCCCCCACTCCCCCCCCACCCTCCCCCACTCCCCCCCACCGTTGCCGTCCGCCGTGTAGGCCGTGAGGTCTAGCCCACGCAGCGGGTAGTTGACGGGCGCCGTCAGCTTGCTGGCGCCCGCCCCGTCCCCCGCCCTGCCGCCCCTCCCCCCGTCCCCCGCCCTGCCGCCCCTCCCCGCCGGCGGCACCGGCGGCGCCGGCTGCGGCGCCGTCGGGAGGAGGTGGGAGGAGGAGGAGGGGGGCGGGGGGTGGTGGGGCGCCGGCTCGGAGAAGCGCTTGAGGAAGAGGACGAGGAGGCGGGGCAGCCGCTGGAGGGAGAGGCGCTTGCCGCTGCGCCGCTTGCGCCGGCAGCGGGGGCAGTGCGGCCGCTCGTCTCCGTCCAGAGTCTCCTCCGTGGCAAAGAGGCGCACGCACTCCTGTAGGGACGGGTCGCTCAGCGGGCGCTGGGGGGGGGAGGGGAGAGGGTGGGTCGGTGAGAGAGAGGGTGGGTGGGTGAGTGGGTGGGTGAGTTGATGGGTGAGTGGGTGGGTGGATTGGTGGGGGGGTGAGTTGATGGGTGAGTGAATGGGTCAGTGAGCGAGTGAGGGTGGGTGGGTGAGACGGTGGGTGGGTGGCGGGGTGAGTGGAGTGGTGAGTGGGTGGGTGAGTGGGTGGGTGAGTGAGCAAGAGAGTGGGTGGGTGAGTGGGTTGGTGGCGGGGTGAGTGGAGCGGTGAGTGGATGGGTGAGTGGATGGGTGAGTGGGTGGGTGAGTAAATGGGTGAGTGGGTGGCTAAGGGTGTGGGTAGGTGCGTGAGTGGGTGAGTGGATTGGTGGGGGGGGTGAGTGCAGCGGTGCGTGGATGGGTGAGTGGGTGGGTGAGTGGATGGGTGAGTGGGTGGGTGAGTGGATGAACGAGTGGGTGGGTGAGTGGACGAAGGAGTGGGTGGGTGTGTAGGTAGGTGGATGTGTGTGCGAGTGGGTGGGTGTGTGTGCGAGTGGGTGGGTGGGTGAGACGGTGGGTGGGTGGCGGGGTGAGTGGAGCGGTGAGTGGATGGGTGAGTGGGTGGGTGAGTAGGTGGGTGTGTAGGTAGGTGGGTGAGTGAGTGGATGAACGAGTGGGTGGGTGAGTGGATGAAGGAGTGGGTGGGTGTGTAGGTAGGTGGGTGAGTGGATGAACATGTGGGTGTGTGTGTGAATGGGTGTGTGTGTGCGTGGGTGTGTGTGTGTGTGCGCGAGTGGGTGTGAGTGTGAGTGTGCGTGTGCGAGTGTATGGGTGTGTGTGTGCGTGTGTGTATAGGTGTGTGTGTGTGTAGGTGAGTGTGTGAGTGAGTGTGTAGGTGAGTGTGCGAGTCGTTACTTTAGCGACGGGGAGTGGCAGTGACCAGAACGCGTCGAAAGTGGTGGAGTGGAGGCCGCAGTGCAGGCACGTCAGCGTGCTCTTCAGCTGCCCCACAAACAGATCTGTCCCCAACATCAACAACGTCATCACCAACATCAACATCATCGTCAACATCATCACCAACATCATCGTCACCGTAATCATCGTCAACATCATAAACATCGTCAACATCATCGTCAACATCATCACCAACATCACCAACATCATCAACATCATTAACATCATCACCAACATCGCCAACATCATCAACGTGGTGGAGTGGAGGCAGCAGTGCAGGCACGTCAGCGTGCTCTTCAGCTGCCCCACAAACAGATCTGTCCCCAACATCAACAACGTCATCACCAACATCATCGTCACCGTAATTATCGTCAACATCGTAAACATCGTCAACATCATCGTCAACATCATCGTCAACATCATCGTCAACATCATCGTCAACATCATCAACACCATCATCGTGAACATCATCGCCAACATCGTCAACATCATCACCAACATCATCAACATCATCGTCAACATCATCACCAACACCATCATCACCATCATCGTCAACATCGTCAACATCATCGTCAACATCATCGTCAACGTCAACATCAACATCTTCGTCATCACTAAGAGACATCTCCTTCACCAGTGGCAAAATATAGTAGTAGGTTTTTACCCTTTCAACTGGTACAAAAACTGACACCTTTATACAAGGCATCATGTTTGCAATAACCACAACACAAGCAGTCAAAATGCAAACAAAAAGAAACAACTCTGATAATGATATGGACTGTCCTTGAAGTTGATTGGTCCACACCCGAGACAGCTTTTCTTAGAGCCTAGTCTCCATTGGTGTTGGACCAGATGACGCCAAAAGCGTACAACTCAAAAACAGCGCACTATCAGAGTATTGAGCTCGGGGTAAGCATTTACACTATTTATACAAGGGATCATGTTTACAATAGTGTAAATGCTTACCCCGAGCTCTCAATGGAGACTAGGCTCTAAGAAAAGCTTGTCTCGGGTGTGGACCAATCAACTTCAAGGACAGTGCATATCATCATCAGTGTTGTTTCTTTTTGTTTGCATTTTGACTGCTTGTGTTGTGGTTATTGCAAACATGATGCCTTGTATAAAGGTGTCAATTTTTGTACCAGTTGAAAGGGTAAAAACCTATCACTATATCTTCGTCATCGTCAACATCGTCATCACCTTCATCATAATCGTCATCAACATCATCCTCATCAACATCATCATTACAGCCTCCGCGTGAAACTGACAAAGACAAAGATCCCCCGTGTAGCCTTAACAGGCTGTAGGGGCAAGTGCTGTTAGCGAGTAGCAGCACCTACGAAGGCCGGCACGGCACACGAGGGGGTGGATGGCCAGCACCACGCCCGGCCGCCTTTGTTTTGTCTTTATGTGCGTGTGTGCATGTGTGCGTGCGTGTGCGCGTGCGTGTGTGTGCGCGTGTGTGTACGTGTGTGCGTGTGCGCATGTGTCCGTGCGTGTGTGTGCGTGTGCGCGTGTGTGCATGTGTACGTGTGTGCGCGTGCGCGTGCGCCCGTGCGTGCGCGTGCGTCTGTGCGTGTGTGTGTGTGCACGTACCCACGATCTTGCTGTTGTCCCTCTCCAGGTAACTCTTCCACTGCTTCATCGACTTCTCCTTGTCACTGCAGAAGGACACCAGGGTGAGCGGACGGGTGAGCGGGCGAGCGGACAGGTGAGAGTACAGGTGAGTATACGCTTGAGTGGACACCAGGGTGAGCGGACGGGTGAGCGAGTAAGCGGACAGGTGAGCAGACAGGTGAGCGTACAGGTGAGTATACGCACGAGTGGACACCAGGGTGAGCGGACGGGTGAGCGGGTGAGCATACAGGTGAGAGTACAGGTGAGTATACGCACGAGTGGACACCAGGGTGAGTGGACGGGTGAGCGAGTAAGCGTACAGGTGAGCGTACAGGTGAGAGTACAGGTGAGTATACGTGCGAGTGGACAGGCAGGGTGAGCGGACGGGTGAGCGGGTGTACTAGTGGTGGAGAGGTGAGTGTCGTGGTGAGTATAGGGTTAAATGTAGGGGTGAGTGAGCGTGGTGGTGAGCGTGGTGGTGCACATGGTGGTGAGCGCGGTGGTGAGCGTGGTGGCGAGCGTGGTGGTGAGTGCGGTAGCATGCGTGGTGGTGAGCGTGGTGGTGAGCGTGGTGGTGAGCGTGGTGGTGAGCGTGGTGGCGAGCGTGGTGGCGAGCGTGGTGGCGAGCGTGGTGGCGAGCGTGGTGGTGAGCGTGGTGGTGAGCGTGGTGGTGCACATGGTGGTGAGCGTGGTGGTGAGCGTGGTGGTGAGCGTGGTGGTGAGCGTGGTGGCGACCGTGGTGGTGAGTGCGGTAGCATGCGTGGTGGCGAGCGTGGTGGTGAGCGTGGTGGTGAGCGTGGTGGTGAGCGTGGTGGTGAGCGTGGTGGTGAGTGTGGTGGTGAGCGAGCGGGTGAGCGTGGTGGCGAGCGTGGTGGTGAGCGTGGTGGTGAGCGTGGTGGTGAGCGTGGTGGTGGTGGTGAGTGTGGTGGTGGTGAGCGTGGTGGTGAGCGTGGTGGTGAGCGCGGTGGTGAGCGCGGTGGTGAGCGCGGTGGCGAGCGTGGTGGTGAGCGTGGTGGTGAGTGCGGTAGCATGCGTGGTGGTGAGCGTGGTGGTGAGCGTGGTGGTGAGCGTGGTGGTGAGCGTGGTGGTGAGCGTGGTGGTGAGCGTGATGGCGAGCGTGGTGGCGAGCGTGGTGGTGAGGTGGTGGGGAGCGTGGTGGTGAGCGTGGTGGTGAGGGTGGTGGTGAGCGTGGTGGTGAGCGTGGTGGTGAGGGTGGTGGTGAGCGTGGTGGTGAGCGTGGTGGTGAGCGTGGTGGTGAGCGTGGTGGTGAGCGTGGGTGGTGAGCGTGGTGGTGAGGTGGTGGTGAGCGTGGTGGTGAGCGTGGTGGTGAGCGTGGTGGTGAGCGTGGTGGTGAGCGTGGTGGTGAGCGTGGTGGCGGTCGTGGTGGTGAGCGAGCGGGTGAGCGTGGTGGTGAGCGTGGTGAGCGTGGTGGTGAGCGTGGTGGTGAGCGTGGTGGTGAGCGTGGTGGTGAGCGTGGTGGTGAGCGTGGTGGTGAGTGTGGTGGTGAGCGTGGTGGTGAGTGTGGTGGTGAGCGTTGTGGTGAGCGTGGTGGTGAGTGTGGTGGTGAGCGTGGTGGTGAGCGTGGTGGTGAGTGTGCCTCACCTCAGGTGGTCGAGGTCGTGGATGAGCGGGTGAGCGCGTGGTGAGGAGCGGTTCACGTCGTGGTGCAGTCCGTCCAGCAGGAACAGCAGGAACTCCTGAGCGTCGTGCTGACTGCAACAACGTAGAACACAACAACAACTACAACAACTACAACAACAACAACTGAGTGAGTGGGTGAGTGAGTGAGCGAGCGAGTGAGTGAGTGAGCGAGTGAGCGAGTGAGTGGGTGAGTGAGCGTGTGAGTGAGTGAGTGTGTGAGCGAGTGAGTGAGTGAGCGAGTGAGCGAGTGAGTGAGTGAGTGTGTGAGCGAGTGAGTGAGTGAGTGAACGAGTGAACGAGTGAGTGAGTGAGTGAGCGAGCGAGCGAGCGAGTAAGTGAGTGTGTGAGCGAGTGAGTGAGTGTGTGAGCGAGTGAGTGAGTGTGTGAGCGAGTGAGTGAGTGAGTGTGTGAGCGAGTGAGTGAGTGTGTGAGTGTGTGAGCCAGTGAGTGAGTGAGTAGGTGAGTGAGCGAGTGAGTGAGTGTGTGAGCGAGTGAGTGAGTGTGTGAGCGAGTGAGTGAGTGAGCGTGTGAGCGAGTGAGTGAGCATGTGAGCGGGTGAGTGAGTGTGTGAGTGGGTGAGTGAGTGTGTGAGTGAGTGAGCGGGTGAGTGGGTGAGTGAGCGATCGAGTGAGTGTGAGTGAGTGAGTAGGTGAGCGAGTGAGTGAGTGAGCGTATGAGTGAGTGAGCGGGTGAGTGGGTGAGTGAGCGATCGAGTGAGTGAGTGTGTGAGTGAGTGGTGAGTGAGCGAGCGAGTGAGTGGGTGAGTGAGTGAACGAGTGACTGAGTGAGTGAGTGAGTGGGTGAGTGAGTTTACCTGCCGCCCCCGAATCGGGGTGCGTGCCTCTGCACCTGGGTGAGTGAGCAAGCGTGTGAGTGAGTGAGTGGGTGAGTGAGTGAGTGAGTGAGCGAGCGTGTGAGTGAGTGAGTGAGCGGGTGAGCGAGTGAGCGAGTGAGTGAGTTTACCTGCCGCCCCCGAATCGGGGAGCGTGCCTCTGCACCTGGGTGAGGAGTGAGTGAGTGACTGAGCGAGCGAGCGGGCGGGTGAGTGAGTGGGTGAGTGAGCGTGTGAGTGAGGGAGTGAGTGAGTGAGTGAGCGGGTGAGCGAGTGAGTGAGTGAGTGAGTTTACCTGCCGCCCCCGAATCGGGGAGCGTGCCGCTGCACCTGGGTGAGGAGTGAGTGAGTGAGCGAGTGAGTGAGTGAGCGAGTGAGTGAGTGTGTGAGTGAGTGAGTGAGTGAGCGAGTGAGTGAGTGAGTGAGCGGGTGAGCGAGTGAGTGGGTGAGTGGGTGAGTGAGCGAGTGAGTGACTGAGTGAGTGAGTGAGTTTACCTCCCGCCCCCGAACCGCGGAGCGTGCCTCTGCACCTGGGTGAGGAGTGATGAGGGACGAGCGACGCTCCCCCCGCTCCACAGCTCACGCAGGAGCAGCGCGAACGCTGAGCAGCAGCAACAACAACATTACACAACAACAATAACACAACAACAACAACATTACAACAACATTACACAACAACATTACACAACAACAATAACACAACAACAGCGTAGTGTAGATTCAACTAGTGGCCACGGGAGGTAATGACAGGGGAGTCAGCCTGCAGTGTGAGTGGACTAGTGGCCACGGGAGGTAATGACAAGGGAGTCGGCCTGCAGTGTGAGTGGACTAGTGGCCACGTATGTACGCGTACGCATCTCTACGTATTTCTACGTATCTCCACGTATGCGTGTGTATCTCTACGTGTGTATCTCTACGTGTGTATCTCTACGTGTGTTTGTGTTTGTATTACCGTGAGCGAGGGCTCCCTTGGTGGGGCTGTGCGGGTTTGTCTCCGGCTCGTAGTCCCCGCGCACGCAGTAGTCACGCAGCGCACGCGTGTGGCTCAAGCACTGCACGATGGAGTTCACAAAGCACTGCACACACACCCCAAACAAAGACAAAGGTCCCCCGCATAGCCTGTAACAGACTGTTGGGGCAAGGGCCGCTAGCGAGTGGCACCTATGAAGGCCGGCACGGCACACGAGGGGGTGGGTGGCCAGCACCACGCCCGGCCGCCTTTGTCTCCCTAGTGGAAATGTTTACACACTGCACCAGGTACTCATTTGAGGCCGAGTCGACCTAGGGGAGGCCCAGGACCAGTTCAGATGATCGTCAGCGGTGTTGGCCGTGAGCGGGAATCGAACTCGGGTCTCTGCCGGGTTCGTAGCGCGGCGTAGCGCAAACCGCTACCGCGCCCCACTAACATACATAAACATACACTAACATCTTCTTGGTTCTTTCGGTAAAGTCACGTAGAATGGAAATAATAAAATAATAAAAATAAAACATAATAAAATAATTCTCTTGACGTTTCGGCCACAACGCAAGCAGCCGTCCTCAGGTGTCGGGAAGACAGCGTCTAAATGAATAGACGCTCCAAGCCTGGTGGTGTTTCATTCAGACGCTGTCTTCCCGACAGACCTGTTCTTCACCTGAAGACGGCTGCTTGCGTTGTGGCTGAAACGTCGTGAGAATTGTATTTTATTATGTTTTATTTTTATTATTTTATTATTTCCATTCTACGTGACTTTACCGAAAGAACCAAGAAGACTTTATTGATTTTGATGACAGTTGTGATGATGATGTTGATGATATTGTTGATGCTAACGATGACGGTGATGTTGATGATACTGATGATGTTGATAATGCTGATTATGTTGACCATGATGTTGACGATGATGTTGACGATGATGATGGTGTTGTTAATGATGTTGACGATGATGATGGTGATGTTAATGATGCTAATGATGATGTGGATGTTGGCGACGACGATGATGTTGGTGAAGATTATTACGTTGACGACGACGCTGATGCCGATGGTGATGTTAATCATGGTGATGGTGATGTTAATCATGGTGATGGTGATGCCGATGATGATGATGATGGTGTCTCACCGTATTCCCCAGGTTCTCCAGGCCGGTGAGTCCAGATTTGGCTGAGAACTGCACCTGCGCGGGAGACACAAAGAAGTCAGTTCCACGAGAGGCGTCACTCCATCTCCCCTCTGTACGTCTCCCTCTGTACGTCTCCCTGACGATCTGTGTGTCTCTCCTTGTCCCGGTCCTTTCTGTGCGTGTCTCCCTGTCTATCCGCGTGGACGAGTGGGTGAGTAAATTCGTGGGTGAGTAGATTAGAGGATGAGTGAGTGGGTGGGTGGATGCATGGGTGGGTGGATGAGTGAGTATATTAGTGGGTGGGTGAGTGAGTGGGTGGGTGAGTAGATTAGAGGATGAGTGAGTGGGTGGGCGGGTGGATGACTGCGTGGATGGATGAGTGAGTATATTAGTGGGTGGGTGGGTGGATGAATGGGTGGGTGAATGAGTTTTTTTAGTGGGTGGTGAGTGAGTGGGTGGTTGCGTGGGTGAGTAATTAGTGGATGAGTGAGTGGGTGGATAAATGGGTTTTTTAGTGGGTGGGTGAGTGAGTGGATGGGTGAGTGGGTGGGTGGATGCATGGGTGGGTGGATGAGTGAGTATATTAGTGGGTGGGTGAGTGGGTGGGTGAGTGGGTGGGTGAATGAGTTTTTTTAGTGGGTGGTGAGTGAGTGGGTGGTTGGGTGGGTGAGTAATTAGTGGGTGAGTGGGTGGATGGGTGAGTATATTAGTGGGTGGGTGAGTGGGTGGGTGGGTGAGTGGGTGGGTGGATGAATGAGTTTTTTAGTGGGTGGTGAGTGAGTGGGTGGATGGGTGAGTATATTAGTGGATGAGTGAGTATATTAGTGGGTGGTTGGGTAATTATATTCGTGGGTGAATGAGTATGTTAGTGCATGGGTGGGTGGGTGGATGAGTGAGTATGTTAGTGGGTGAGTGGGTGGGTGGATGAATGAGTGAGTAAATTAGTGGATAAGCAAGTGGGTGGATGAGTGAGTATATTAGTGGGTGGGTGGGTGAGTGGGTGGGTGAGTAATTAGTGGATGAGTGAGTGCGTGATTGGGTGATTATATTCGTGGGTGAATGAGTATGTTAGTGCATGGGTGGGTGAGTGGATGAGTGAGTATGTCAGTGGGTGGGTGAGTGGGTGGTTGAGTGGGTGGGTGAGTAATTAGTGGATGAGTAAGTGGGTGGATGAGTGAGTATATTAGCGGGTGAGTGGGTGGGTGGATGAGTGGGGTGGGTGGGCGAGCGAATGAGTGATTGGGTGGGTGAGCGAATGAGTGATCGGGTGAGCGACCAAACGATTGAGCGAGCGAGTGAGCGACACCACCATGATCCCAACACGCCCCCCCCCCACCGCACCCCCCCTCCAGCCCCCCCCCTCCCACCGCACCCTCTCCTGCGTCTTCCTCCCTTGCGCTGGCGCCGCCGCCATGCCCACGAGCGCCGAGCACAGCACCGACTGCGCCACCCTGGCGTGCCCGGCCGGCGTGCCCACCATCGCACGCACCACCCACGGCGCCACCCACGGCGCCCACATTCCCTCCCCGTGACCCCCGTGACCCACGTGACCCCCGTGACCCACGTGACCCCCTTGACCCACGTGACCGCCGCCAGCCAACAGCCGCCGGGGGGACAGCACCGCCACCGCGGCGCTGCGGCCGCAGCAACAGCAGCAGCCGCTCGACGCGTCAAAAGCCACCCGCATCCTCCTCCTGCTGCTGCTGCTGCTGTGTCCTGTGGTCCAGATCCGGTGGTCCAGATCCGGTGTTCAGATTATTGCGGTCAAATCCCGTGGTCCAGATCCCACGTCCAGCTCCCGTGGTCCAAATCCTGTCTTCAAATCCCGTCTTCAAATCCCGTCTTCAAATCCCGTCTTCAAATCCCGTCTTCAAATCCCGTCTTCAAATCCCGTCTTCAAATCCCGTCTTCAAATTCCGTCTTCAAATCCCGTGGTCCAGATCCTGTGTCAAGATTCCGTGTCCAGATCTCGTGCTCAAATCCCAGTCTTCAAATCCCAGTCTTCAAATCCCAGTCTTCAAATCCCAGTCTTCAAATCCCAGTCTTCAAATCTCGTGCTCCAGATCCCGCAGTCCAGATCCCGTGTTCAAATCTTGTCCAAATCCCGTGGTCCAAATCCCGTGGTCCAAATCCCGCGGTCCAAAACCCGCGGTCCGGATCCCGTGTCACGGCAAAGTCGCTGTCCACCAACACGCCGGTAATGATCCACCCGTGCTTTTTGGCGGTCGGTAAGTCCGGAACAAATTCAAAAGTAAGTCCGTGTGTGTGTGTATGTACACACGTACACGCACGCACACACACGCACCGAGCGAGCAGCTCCACCTCCGCCTGTGCAACGGTCGCAAGCGCCCTGCTTGGGCCAGCGACGATCGTAAGAGGCGGTCCGGATTACGCGTGTCCATCTCTACGTACGCGTACGCATCTCCACGTATCTGCACGTGCGCGTGTCCATCTCCACGTATCACGTATCTCCACGTATCTCCACGTACGTATATCCACGTATCTGCACGTACGCGTGTGTTTGTGTTTGTATTACCGTGAGCGAGGGCCCCCTTGGTGGGGCTGTGCGGGTTTGTCGTAAGGCGGTACACGGATTACTACGGCCGCCACCGTCAGGGGGGGTGGGCGAGGATTATCCAAGCGGCCGTCGTCGGATTAGTATCTTGAAGTCAGCGTCGTCGTCCCCCCCTCCTCCCTCCTCCTTGCGGTGACTTCAGGTGGACTTTGTCCCAAGAGGTCACCGCCAATCGGCTCGCTCTGCCGCCTCGAGACGCGCTTTCCCCGGTGGGGTTCGATTCGCAAAAATGTTCAACGCGTAGCGAGCTCTCGCGGGCAATGGTGTTCGTGAATAACGGGGTTTTTTGGAGTTTTTTTATGAGCTTCGATTGAAAAGTTTAAAAAAGTTTCTCGTACGTAGAACGACGTCTGCCTGGCGAGCGCTCTCAGAATGGTCCCTCTGTAGTGTCACTCCGTCTCGCTCAGTCTATCTGTACTTCTCTCTCTGTGTCTCTGTGTCTCTCTCTCTGTCTCTCCGTCTCTTTTTCTCTATCTGTACTTCTCTCTGTGTCTCTGTGTCTCTCTCTCTGTCTCTCTCTCTCTCTCTGTCTGTCTGTCTCTCTGTCTGTCTCTCTGTCTCTCTCTCCATCTGTCTGTCTCTCTGTCTGTCTCTCTGTCTTTCTCTGTCTGTCTGTCTCTGTCTGTGTGTCTCTGTCTGTGTGTCTCTCTCTCTGTGTCTCTCTCTGTGTCTCTCTCTGTGTCTCTCTCTCTGTCTCTCTCTCTGTCTCTCTCTCTGTCTCTCTCTCTCTGTCTGTCTCTCTGTCCGTGTCTCACGATCGCTCTCACAATCGTCCCTCTGTAGTATCTCTCCGTCTCGCTCAGTCCTAACTGTGGGTCTCTCTCAGTCCTAACTGTGGGTCTCTCTCCATGTCAAGTACTTACGCGATCTAACCCAAAAACCTTCATTAAGACATAAAAGAACATTACATATCTGTGAAAAAAAAAACCTTCATAGCTCATCGGATTTCCCCTCCGGTATAAATAAACATCCTGATTTTCTATTTCAAACTGAAGCGGGCAAGCTCCGACAACCGACGGGCCGACGCGCTAAAAAGCAAACGGAACGCGAGAAAAATTCCGCTGAACTTTGAAACGCCACGGCTTGATCCTGTCGGGCGCGAAGGCTGCGCCCAATGGATTTGGGCCGCACCTTCCGCCACTGCGAGGAGCTAAGCGAGCTTAGGGAAGAATTAAAGACACTGTACTCGGGACGCAAGATCGCGATAGAATTTAGAATTGTCGGAAACGCCGGCGGGAGCCGTCGCGCGCCGGCAGGCGGAGGGGGGGGGGGTTAGCGTCGAAAAAAAATGTTTAAAAAGGAAAAGTTATCTCGTACGTAGAACGTCGCTACGTCCATCTGCGTGTCTCTGTGCGTGTCTCTGTGCGTGTCTCTGTGCGTGTCTCTGTGCGTGTCTCTGTGCGTGTCTCTGTGCGTGTCTCTGTGCGTGTCTCTGTGCGTGTCTCTGTGCGTGTCTCTGTGCGTGTCTCTGTGCGTGTCTCTGTGCGTGTCTCTGTGCGTGTCTCTGTGCGTGTCTCTGTGCGTGTCTCTGTGCGTGTCTCTGTGCGTGTCTCTGTGCGTGTCTCTGTGCGTGTCTCTGTGCGTGTCTCTGTGCGTGTCTCTGTGCGTGTCTCTGTGCGTGTCTCTGTGCGTGTCTCTCTCTCTGTGTCTCTCTCTCTGTGTCTCTCTCTCTGTGTCTCTCTCTCTGTGTCTCTCTCTCGCTCTGCGTGTCCCGGTCACACACACAAGCACACACGCACGCGCACACACACGCACAAGCACGCACGCACGCACACACGACTCCAAAGAAACTCCACAGATTTACAGCCGTCAATCCACAGACAAAAAATTAAACAAAAAACAACAACAAGCTGAACAAACCACGCTGAAATCAACGACGACGACGACAACCGCTGCCCTAGACCACCTCAACTCGAAACATAAATTCACGTTTGTCAGAAAACCGCGGCGGTGGCGGTGGCGGTGACGGTGACGCTGGCGCGGTTGGGTTCTTAGCCGCGATAAGTGCTCCTAAAACGGGGATGATGATGATGATGGTGGTGATGATGGTGATGATGGTGGTTGTTATGATGAAGGCGTCAGTGATGACTAAGCGAGCGTTGTTTTCGAAATCCGGGGGGCTGGCGTCGCCCGACAAACAACAACAGCAGCGAGGTGTGGAGGGCGGAGGAGCGACGCTCACAACAACGAGCGGAGCGCCGGGTGGCTAAAGCACAGCAAGTTGGTACAGTAGGGGGCACAGGTGGTGCATCAGCCAGTCATCTCGGTCATCTCGGTCAGTCGACCCGTGGCACCTGCTGGGTCTGCCCCGTGACCTCCTGCCAGCGGGCGTTCGACACTTCACGTGGCCTCAAGGTGCACTTGGCCCGGCACAAGCGTCGTGGTGACGTCACCGCCACTTAGTGGCGAATGGCGGTTGTTGTTGTTGTGACAGTGTGTGTGTGTGTGACTGTGTGCGTGACTGCGTGACTCCTGCTATCCCGGTGCTCACCTGCCGACCGCCACCACCGCCACCACCGCCACCACCGCCACCACCGCCACCACCGCCACCACCGCCACCACCGCCACCACCGCCACCACCGCCACCACCGCCACCGTCTTCACTCTCGTCATCGTCAACATCCTCCTCCTCCTCGTCAATTTCCTCGCCACAGAAACCGTTCGGGCTCAGTCTGTGCTGCTTCTGCTGCTGCTGCTGCTTCAGCTGCTTCTGCTGCTGCTGCTGCTTCAGCTGCTTCTGCTGCTTCTGCTTCAGTTGCTGCTGCTCAAGCTGCTGCTTCTGCTGGATCAACTCCTGCTTCTTCTCCTCCATCTGCTGCCTTTTCTTCCTCTGCTGCTGCTCCTGCTTCTGCTGCTTCTCCTGCTGCTGCTGCCGCTTCTCCTCCTCCTCCTCCTGCTGCTGCTGCTGCTGCTTCTTGCGCTGCTGCTGCTGCTGCAGCAGAGAGAGCGACAGCCTCCCCACGCCCTTGCCCACCTCGTCAGATTCCGCGCACTCCACCCGTTTCCTCCTCCTCCTCCTGGCTCTCGCTCTGCCGTGAGCCGCGCTGGCGGCGACGCTGTTGGTGCAGCCGGGGCGGGTCGGGGAATCGTCGGAGGAGATGGAAGACGACGACGACGACGAGGAGGAGGAGTCACCGTCCGTCTCTGGAGAGGCGAGGGACGCGCCACCGACGCTCACCACCGGGCCAGCCGGCGTGACGCCTACTGGGGACACACGCGGCGCGGCGGGGAGATGTTAATTACCTCGCCTGGTATACAGCAGGTCGTGGGTTCGATCCCGACCCTGACGCCTGCTGCTGTATATTTAGAGTTTGCGTGGGAGTTAGCGTCTCTCTCATCATCATCATAATCACGGTGGCTAGGAGATGTTGATTACCTCGCCTGGTGTACAGGAGATCGTGGGTTCGATCCCGACACTGACGCCTGCTGCTGTGTATTTGGAGTCTGCGTGGGAGTCTGCGTGTGTCTCTCATCATCATCATCACGGTGGCTAGGAGATGTTAACTACCTCGCCTGGTGTACAGGAGGTCGTGGGTTCGATCCCGACCCTGACGCCTGCTGCTGTATTTTTGGAGTTTGCGTGTCTCTCCCTCATCATCATCACGGGGGTGAGATGTTAACTACCTCGCCTGGTGTACAGGAGGTCGTGGGTTCGATCCCGACACTGACGCCTGCTGCTGTATATTCGGAGTTTGCGTCTCTCTCTCTCTCCCCGAGGTCACGTGGATTTTTCTCCGGGTCCTCCGGTTTTCCCCCCTCCGCATTTAGAGTTGACGCGACCACCGCGCGTTCAGAGCGTTTGGCTACCGCCGCACATCTCCACGTGACGACGATGACCACGACAATGATAACCCCACTCCGTGAGGAACTATCATTTACTCTTTGGTTCTTTCGGTAAAGTCACGTGTAAAGAGAAAGTAATAAATTAAATACTAGTATACGACGTTTCGATTGCAACACAAGCAATCGTCGTCAGGTATAAATGAAATAGAAACACAAGTCTAGTATACTTAGAAATGTAATGTAATACAACAGAGAGTCGGATTACATAACAGTCAACACCCTACCTGGTTGATTACGTTCTTCCTGAGAATGCAAAATTTGAGAGAGAGATAAAACACAGAACCAGGGACATATAGACAGACATATAAGTAGAGACAGATATCACAGAGATACATAGAGAGAGACGTACATAGGCACACAGAGAAACCACGCCTCTGTGTCGAGGCTTTAATTAGAGAGAGGGGTCTACAACCTTCACCCCAAACACCACCACCACCTCCATCACCTCCACCACCACAACCTTCACCCCAAACACCACCACCACCTCCATCACCTCCACCACAACCTGCACCCCAAACACCACCACCATCTCCACCACACCCTTCAACATCACCATCTCCACCACCTCCATCACCTCCACCACCACCACAACCTTCACCCCAAACACCACCACCACCTCCATCACCTCCACCACAACCTTCACCCCAAACACCACCACCTCCATCACCTCCACCACCACAACCTTCACCCCAAACACCACCACCACCTCCATCACCTCCACCACAACCTGCACCCCAAACACCACCACCTCCATCACCTCCACCACCACAACCTGCACCCCAAACACCACCACCATCTCCACCACACCCTTCAACATCACCATCTCCACCACCTCCATCACCTCCACCACCACCACAACCTTCACCCCAAACACCACCACCACCTCCATCACCTCCACCACCACAACCTTCACCCCAAACACCACCACCACCTCCATCACCTCCACCACAACCTGCACCCCAAACACCACCACCATCTCCACCACACCCTTCAACATCACCATCTCCACCACCTCCATCACCTCCACCACCACCACAACCTTCACCCCAAACACCACCACCACCTCCATCACCTCCACCACCACAACCTTCACCCCAAACACCACCACCACCTCCATCACCTCCACCACAACCTGCACCCCAAACACCACCACCATCTCCACCACACCCTTCAACATCACCATCTCCACCACCTCCATCACCTCCACCACCACCACAACCTTCACCCCAAACACCACCACCACCTCCATCACCTCCACCACAACCTTCACCCCAAACACCACCACCTCCATCACCTCCACCACCACAACCTGCACCCCAAACACCACCACCATCTCCACCACACCCTTCAACATCACCATCTCCACCACCTCCATCACCTCCACCACCACCACAACCTTCACCCCAAACACCACCACCTCCATCACCTCCACCACAACCTGCACCCCAAACACCACCACCATCTCCACCACACCCTTCAACATCACCATCTCCACCACCTCCATCACCTCCACCACCACCACAACCTTCACCCCAAACACCACCACCACCTCCATCACCTCCACCACAACCTTCACCCCAAACACCACCACCTCCATCACCTCCACCACCACAACCTGCACCCCAAACACCACCACCATCTCCACCACACCCTTCAACATCACCATCTCCACCACCTCCATCACCTCCACCACCACAACCTTCACCCCAAACACCACCACCACCTCCATCACCTCCACCACAACCTGCACCCCAAACACCACCACCATCTCCACCACACCCTTCAACATCACCATCTCCACCACCTCCATCACCTCCACCACCACCACAACCTTCACCCCAAACACCACCACCACCTCCATCACCTCCACCACCACAACCTTCACCCCAAACACCACCACCACCTCCATCACCTCCACCACAACCTGCACCCCAAACACCACCACCATCTCCACCACACCCTTCAACATCACCATCTCCACCACCTCCATCACCTCCACCACCACCACAACCTTCACCCCAAACACCACCACCACCTCCATCACCTCCACCACCACAACCTTCACCCCAAACACCACCACCACCTCCATCACCTCCACCACAACCTGCACCCCAAACACCACCACCATCTCCACCACACCCTTCAACATCACCATCTCCACCACCTCCATCACCTCCACCACCACCACAACCTTCACCCCAAACACCACCACCACCTCCATCACCTCCACCACCACAACCTTCACCCCAAACACCACCACCACCTCCATCACCTCCACCACAACCTGCACCCCAAACACCACCACCATCTCCACCACACCCTTCAACATCACCATCTCCACCACCTCCATCACCTCCACCACCACCACAACCTTCACCCCAAACACCACCACCACCTCCATCACCTCCACCACCACAACCTTCACCCCAAACACCACCACCACCTCCATCACCTCCACCACAACCTGCACCCCAAACACCACCACCATCTCCACCACACCCTTCAACATCACCATCTCCACCACCTCCATCACCTCCACCACCACCACAACCTTCACCCCAAACACCACCACCACCTCCATCACCTCCACCACCACAACCTTCACCCCAAACACCACCACCACCTCCATCACCTCCACCACAACCTGCACCCCAAACACCACCACCATCTCCACCACACCCTTCAACATCACCATCTCCACCACCTCCATCACCTCCACCACCACCACAACCTTCACCCCAAACACCACCACCACCTCCATCACCTCCACCACCACAACCTTCACCCCAAACACCACCACCACCTCCATCACCTCCACCACCACAACCTTCACCCCAAACACCACCACCACCTCCATCACCTCCACCACCACAACCTTCACCCCAAACACCACCACCACCTCCATCACCTCCTAGTGCCGTGATGAGCGTCACCGTCGTTGCTGCCGCAGCCGCCGCCAAGCGCTCGTGTCCCCGCGGCACCGACGCCGTCCGAGAGGTCCCAGCACCACCGACGGCGCCACTGACGGCGCAACCAAAACTGCCGCCGCCGCCACCGCCGCGCCGTTTCTCATCTCCCATCGCCGTCGACGCCCTCAACTTTCCTCTCCTCTCTCCCCTTCCCACCTCCTCTTCCTCGCCGGCCATCGGCATCGCCGCCGCCGTCGCCGCCGCCCCGTACGGTTTCACCGCCCTCACCGGGCCGCCCGAGGCCACGGCGGCCGCCCCCTCCCCCGCGCCGGCCGTGCGCCGCCGGACGAGGGGGCGGCCCCTCGCGTCCAGCGGTCCGGGGCCCGGCGGCAGGAGGCGGCGGTGGCGGTGGCCGCCGGCGTCGGCGCCGTCGGGCGCCGCGGCGACGAAGGGGGCGCGGTAGATTCGGCCCAGTGACACGGACCTGTGGGGTGGGGGGGGGGTGAGGGGAGTGGGGGGGGCTTTTGGGACGCGCTGCTTTCCCGCGGCCCTCTGGAACGCTCTTCCTGCCGACGTTAGGAAGCCGCTGGGGGCCGTGCACTTGAAACCGCCCCCGCTGACAAAATCACTTCTCTTATACTGCTTTTTGTTGCTGTGCTCAACAGACGCACGTACGTAGACCGAGGCTGTCTGTTAGCCTGTCCGTCCGTCCAGCTGTCTGTGTCTGCCTGCCTGCCTGTCTGTCTGGCCTGGCACAGGCGTCGTGGTGACGTCACCGCCACTTAGTGGCGAATGGCGGTTGTTGTTGCCTGTCTGTCTGCCTGTGCGCGAGCCTGTCTGCCTGTCTGCCTGTCTGTCTGTCTGTGCGCGAGTCTGTCTGCCTGTCTGTCCATCCGTCCATCCGTCCGCAAGTGAGCGAGCGAGAGAGTTAGCGAGCAAGCGGAAGAGTTAGCGAGCGAGAGATCGAGTGAGAGAGTTGGTGAGCGAGTTAGCGAGCGAGAGACCAAGCGAGCGAGAAAGTTAGCGAGTGAGCGAGAGAGTCAGCGAGCGACGGAGCGAGCGAGAGCGTTAGCGAGTGAGAGAGTTAGCGAGCGGGAGAGTTAGCGAGCGACGGAGCGAGCGAGAGAGTTAGCGAGCAGGAGACCAAGCGAGCGAGAAAGTTCGCGAGTGAGCGAGAGTTAGATAGCGACGGAGCGAGCGAGCGCCTCACCTGTGCTCGGGGTGAGACTCGGCTGCTGGCACAGCGAGCTTGGACTTCCCCAGGCGATGTCGCGACGACTTCCCTCCCGCCGCCGCCGCCACCGCCGCTGCCCTCGCCGCTGCCCCCGGGGCTGCCCCCGGCGCCGCTGCATTGGAGGTGGAGGGCGTGGGCTCCGAGGCCGTCTTCTGGGACGAGGACGACGACGACGAGGTGGAGGTGGAGGACGGAGAGCGCTTCATGGCGCGGTCACTCACGGCCATCGACTGCTCGGGCGCAGAGAGAGGGAGGGAGAGAGACGGAGAGAAAGGGGGAGAGAGAGGGAGGGAGGGAGACGGAGGGAGACAGAGAGAGATGGAGAAAGTTTTTGTTGTCAACGAGTGTAATTCTTTTCAAATATACAGCAGGCATCAGGGTTGGGATCGATCACACGACCTCCTGCATACCAGGCGAGGTAGTTAACATCTCCTAGCCACCGTGATGATGATGAGAGAGAGACACCCAAACTCCAAATATACAGCAGCAGGCGCCAGGGTCGGGATCGAACCCAGGACCTCCTGCGTACCAGGCGAGGTAGTTAACATCTCCTAGCCACCGTGATGATGATGAGAGAGAGACACGCAAACTCCAAATATACAGCAGCAGGCGTCAGGGTCGGGATCGAACCCACGACCTCCTGTACACTAGGCGAGGTAGTTAACATCTCACCATCGTGATGATGATGAGAGAGACACGCAAACTTCAAATATACAGCAGCAGGCGCCAGGGTCGGGATCGAACCCACGACCTCCTGCACACCAGGCGAGGTAGTCAACATCTCCTAGCCACCGTGACGTCTACGTTTCACTGACGCGCACCGTCGCCTGCCCGTAGGATGTGACCCAGAGGTCACATCGCAAACGGGTTTTGATTCCTTACCCGTACCCGTACCCGGCCACACCAGGGTCGCAAACTGGTACCCGTACCCGGCCGGGAAGCCATACGTGTTAAACTCGGTCACGCAGGTATAAAATAAATTGCATTAAAACTTCAAATCTAGATTAAACTCGGTCGGTTTTTTTCACTAGAGGTCTTACCCTTTCTGGCAATAAAACATTTGTTTTAAGATGTTAAAACACCCGACATAATCCTTTATCAAGGAATCTTGTCTGCATGAAATCACACGGTACTCGTTGTGAACATGCAAACAAGAAACATGCTCTGATAACACTGGTAGGAACCTCTGGTTCCACCAGCCCACAGGGGATTATTGTGTCCGTCCGTCGTGCAGGGAGGGGCTAGGTGGGGAGGGTGGGGAGGGGATGGGTGGGGAGGGTGGGGCTGGGTGGGGGGGTGTGAGGCGTGGGGCTGGGTGGGGAGGGGCTGGGTGGGGAGGGGAGGGTGGGGCTGGGTGGGGGGTGTGAGGGGTGGGGCTGGGTGGGGAGGGGCTGGGTGAGGAGGGTGGGGCTGGGTGGGGGGAGGGGTGGGGCTGGGTGGGGCTGGGTGGGGGGTGTGAGGGGTGGGGGCTGGGTGGGGAGGGGCTGGTCACCCCGTGGTGCCCTTATAAAACTCAACGTTTCACCTACTCACGCCGGCTTGTGCCCGCCCTCACAGTCGGGCATATTTGCGGAATACACCACGCCGCCGTTGACCCTGCAGGCCATTGACCGAGCAACCCAACGTTCCTACCAGCTCCCTCCACAGGACAATGTGTTATATATGATGCATGGTTTCGATTTAAAGCTTTCGTGACTGTAGGGATTCATCTTCTTGGTTCTTTCGGTAAAGTCACGTAGAAGGGAAATAATAAAGTAATAATTATTATATTATTGTATGATGTTTTATTTTTATTATTTTATTATATCCCTTCTACGTGACTTTACCGAAAGAACCAAGAAGATGATGCATGGTCTTTGAAACCGATCGGTCCACACCAGAGACAGCTTTCTTTAGAGCCAAGTCTCCCTCACGGTGTTACACCAGAGAATGCCGAACAGCACAAGGGCAATGTCCACTATCCAGAGGCATGGATAGCTCGGGGTGAGCAGCTACAACATGCGTCAACGCAAACAAAACGGAGCCATCTTCTTGGTTCTTTCGGTAAAGTCACGTAGAAGGGAAGTAATAAAATAATAAAAATTAAACATAATAAAATAATTTTCACGACGTTTCGGCCACAACGCAAGCAGCCGTCCTCAGGTGAAGAACAGCGTCTGTCGGGGAGACAGCGTCTGAATGAAACACCACCAGGCTTGGCAGCGTATATTTAAGCTGCTGGGTTGGAAGGGGGGAAGGGCGCCTTGACAAAATAATTTGCATATCAAGAGGAATTTAGTATATTTATGGGAAATGCAGGTATGGGATTAGTCACTACTTGTGAAATGCGTAGGAGGTGGGCGGGGGGGGGGGTTTCAAAGTCATATTATGCCCGCGCATTATGCAGGATTAGCAGCATCAAAAAGGATTAGCAGCATCAAAAATCGAAAAAAAACCGAGCCAATTCGTTACCGATTTCAGATGCGGTGGTGGTGGTGGTGGGGGGGGTCTTTAACTCTCCGACACACAACCGGTGAGCGCTGAACTAGCCACGAATTTTTCCACCTTCACCAATTGGCTGTGCGTTGGGTGGTGGCGGGTTTCACGACACAACGGGCATTTATTTATATATTTGGCGTGATGCAACTCCTCCAAAAAAACCCCCCATCATCGACAGGACTATGCAAGACTAAAATGTTGTAGTAGGTTTTTACCCTTTTAAACTGGTACAAAATTGACACCTTTATTCAAGGCATCATGTTTGCAATAACCACAACACAAGTAGTCAAAAAAGCAAACAAAAAGAAGCAACTCTGATAATGATATGCACTGTCCTTGAAGTTGATTGGTCCACACCCGAGACAGCTTTCTTTAGAGCCTAGTCTCACATGGTGTTGGACCAGATGACGCCAGAAGGCGTACAACTCAAACACAGTGCAATATCAGAGTATTGAGAGCTCGGGGTGAGCATTTACACTATGAGACATCTTTTACCAGTGGCAAAATATAGTAGTAACCCCGAATACACGTGTCGCCTTAACAGACTGTAGGGGCAAGTGCTGTTAGCAAGCAGCACCTATGAAAGCCGGCACGGCACACGAGGGGGTGGGTGGCCAGCACCACGCCCGGCCGCCTTTGTCTCCCCAGTGGCGATGTTTACTACACACCGCTACACCAGGTACTCATTTGAGGCTGAGCCGACCTAGGAGAAGCCCAATACCCGTTCATATAATCGTCACCGGTGTTGGCCGTGAGCGAGAATCGAACCCGTGTCGCCGGGTTTGTAGTGCAGCGTAGCGCTAACCACTGCCCCACCGCTCCCCACACACACAACAACAACAACCGCCATTCGCTACTAAGTGGCGGTGACGTCACCACGACGCTTGTGCCAGGCCATGTGCACCTTGAGGCCACGTGAAGTGTCGAACGCTTGCTGCTGGCAGGAGGTCACGGGGCAGACCCAGCAGGTGCCACGGGTCGACTGACCGAGATGACCGAGATGACACAACAACAACCGCCATTCGCCACTAAGTGGCGGTGACGTCACCACGACGCTTGTGCCAGGCCATGTGCACCTTGAGGCTACCACGTGAAGTGTCGAACGCTTGCTGCTGGCAGGAGGTCACGGGGCAGACCCAGCAGGTGCCACGGGTCGACTGACCGAGATGACCGAGATGACACAACAACAACAACAACCGCCATTCGCCACTAAGTGGCGGTGACGTCACCACGACGCTTGTGCCAGGCCATGTGCACCTTGAGGCTACCACGTGAAGTGTCGAACACTTGCTGCTGGCAGGAGGTCACGGGGCAGACCCAGCAGGTGCCACGGGTCGACTGACCGAGATGACCGAGATGACACACACACACAGTGACACACACACAGTGACACACACGCATAGACACAAAGACAAAGATCCCCCGTGTAGCCTTCACATACTGTAGGGGCAAGTGCTGTTAGCGAGTAGCAGCACCTATGAAGGCCGGCACGGCACACGAGGGGGTGGGTGGGTGGCCAGCAACACGCCCCCCAGTGGCAATGTTTACACACCGCACCAGGTACTCATTTGAGGCCGAGTCGACCTAGGGGAGGCCCAGCGACCGGTTCAGAGAATCGTCACTGCGTGTTGGTGATCGTGAGCGGGAATCGAACTCGGGTGGTCGGGTTCGTAGCGCTAACCACTGCACCACCGCTCCCCTAAACAAAAACACAATCACACATCAATTAAAACTCACGGACAATGCATCCTCATTATTACGATGACAACAGCTCGTTATTGTTGCGGTGTGACGCCAGGGACTGTACAGCAGCCCGAGAGAGAAATGTTTTAAATCGAATGATCAGCGAACGAGTGGAGTGTGGAGCTTAACGTAATTTTGTTATCGCATTTAGAATGCGCACCCTATGGATATTTTTTAACATGCGGGATCAAACCGCCTGACAAGCAACGCGTCGATTAAATAACTCGTCTAAATTTACTTAATTTACTTGAGGGTTTAAAAACAAAAACCTAATTCCAAAGCATTAGAACAAAATAAATATAATTTTTTTAAAAATCGGACACCGCTCGTAGCTACCCACCTTCGCCTGCTCTCCCGCCGCGATGTAGCCCAGTCTCCGGGCGGCGGTTCAGGCTCCGCGCCGTGCCTAGGCCTCAACCGGCCTCGGTCTTCGCTACGGAACTCATTCTCCTCGCCGCGTCTTGGCGATTGCGATTGAAGAGGTGAACGCGCTCCGAACGGCGCGAGAGTGTTCGTTTGCCCTCTGGTTTCTTTTTAATTTGATATAAAATCGAATTTCCGCACCCCCCTCGCTACCCAGCAGCGGTTTTTCTCGTTTTTTTACGCGCGGGGTCACGTGACGTTGTTGCTTAGCGACATGGGCGTCGCGACCCCACGCTGAATATCGTAGCGCTGATAGGTATAGGGTAGTTTAATTCGTAGTGCGGATGAGGATAGGCGATTGTAATCCGTAGCGCGGATGGGACCAAGCAATTGCAGTTCATAACGCGCTTAAGTAGAAGCGACTGTAATTCGTAGACTGAATTGGTGCGAGCGATTGTAAATCACAGTATAGATAAAAACGGGAGCTTGTAATTCATTGAACGGACACGCACGATGAATATCCTAGCACGGTTAAGTATAAGCGATGAAAATTCATAACGTGTTTAGGTATAGCAGATTGTAATTCGTAATACGAATAGGAATACAAGCGTTGTAATTCACAACGTAGATAAGAGACATGTTCAAAACCTTAGTGCAGATAAACATAGAAAGTGCAATTTGTAATTCGTAGCCGGGGCCGACGAAACGCGTTGAATTTCTTCGCACGGATAAGTATAAGAGATTGAAATTCATAATGTGCATAGGTATACTCGATTGTTATTGCTAGCGAAGATAAGGATAGACTGTTGCAATTTGTAGCTCGGATAAGAGTGCAGGTTCGTGGTTATTTTGTAGGAAAATCGTGGTTCAGATATAATAGAGGTTTTTGTGGGTGAGATCGCGTAAATATAAATGTGTCGTCAAACCCGCCACCCCCCGACACAGCCAATTAGTAAAGTTTGTTACTTAAACAGAACGTGCCAATTCGTTACTGTTACAGCACTAGTGTATGGTGTAGTGTATAGTGTAGTGTATAGTGTAGTATACTAGTACAGCACTAGTGTATGGTGTAGTGTATAGTGTAGTGTATAGTGTAGTATACTAGTACAGCACTAGTGTATAGTGTAGTGTATAGTAGTGTATAGTGTAGTGTATAGTGTAGTATACTAGTACAGCACTAGTGTATAGTGTAGTGTATAGTGTAGTGCATAGTGTAGTATACTAGTGCAGTAGTGATTAGTGTAGTGTATAGTGTAGTATACTAGTACAGCACTAGTGTATAGTGTAGTGTATAGTGTAGTGTATTGCATAGTGTAGTGTATAGTGTAGTATACTAGTGCAGCACTAGTGTATAGTGTAGTGTATCGTGTAGTATACTAGTACAGCACACCGGTTGTGTTGGAGAGCCAAGCCACAACATTTACAATCTGAGTACGACGTTTCGCCAGTAGTTTCAAGTTCAAGTTCATTGATTAGGTATAGCCCTGTGAGCCATTCGGCTCTTGAATCGGGTGCAACCGCAACAAACAGAAAACAAAAACATGAACAAGAAAACATCTTAAAGTGAATATGTGACTAAGTGCAAACAGAAAATTCAAGAAAAGACAGCAACAATATTGCAGAAAAAACACCGTACACGAACGCTGTGTGCAAAAATCTCAGTGGGATGCAAGTCAAACAACAACAACAACCACCACAAGACAACTTAGATTAAGGCCATCAGTCTAACTCTGTACTACAACAAACATGGCCAAACCAAAAAACTTTTAGAAATCACCAAAATAAAGCCATGAAAGCAATGAAACAGTGATCATAGAAACTGACGGAATTTTCACAATAAACAACGTAAACAACATGCACCACCAAAAACCCTGCAGCCATAGCTCCATCAGGCGACAACCGGTGTGCTGTACTCGTAACGAATTGGCACGTTGTGTTGACGTGACACAAATGTCGGTTTTGTTTCTCTCTTGTGACGGGACTTTGTAGGATGAAGGCTGGGGTTTATAAGGGGCACAATAAGGTCTGAATTAAGGTGGGGGCACTGATAAGGTAGGGGGGCAGTGTGTGGGTGGGTGAGTGTGTGGGTGAGTGAGTGGGTGGGTGAGTGGGTGGGTGGGTGAGTGGGTGGGTGGGTGAGTGGGTGGGTGGGTGAGTGGGTGGGTGGGTGGATGAGTGGGTGGGTGGGTGAGTGGGTGGGTGAGTGGATGTGTGGGTGAGTAGGTCGGTGTGTGGGTGAGTGAGTGGGTGGGTGTGTGAGTGTGTGGGTGAGTGGGTGGGTGAGTGTGTGGGTGGATGAGTGTGTGGGTGAGTGAGTGGGTGGGTGAGTGGGTGGGTGGGTGAGTGGGTGGGTGGGTGAGTGGGTGGGTGGATGAGTGGGTGGGTGGGTGAGTGGGTGGGTGAGTGGATGTGTGGGTGAGTGGGTGGGTGGGTGGGTGGGTGAGTGGGTGGGTGAGTGAGTGTGTGGGTGAGTGGGTGGGTGAGTGTGTGGGTGGGTGAGTGTGTGGGTGAGTGAGTGGGTGGGTGAGTGGGTGGGTGGGTGAGTGGGTGGGTGGGTGAGTGGGTGGGTGGGTGGATGAGTGGGTGGGTGGGTGAGTGGGTGGGTGAGTGGATGTGTGGGTGAGTGGGTGGGTGGGTGGGTGAGTGAGTGGGTGGGTGTGTGAGTGTGTGGGTGAGTGGGTGGGTGAGTGTGTGGGTGGATGAGTGTGTGGGTGGATGAGTGTGTGGGTGGGTGAGTGGGTGGGTGACTGGGTGAGTGGGTGGGTGTGTGGGCGGGTGAGTGGGTGGGTGGGTGAGTGGGTGGGTGACTGGGTGGGTGGGTGACTGGGTGGGTGGGTGAGTGTGTGGGTGGGTGTGTGGGTGGGTGAGTGTGTGGGTGGGTGACTGTGTGGGTTGTTGAGTGGGTGAGTGGGTGGGTGAGTGGGTGGGTGAGTGAGTGTGTGTGTGGGTGGGTGAGTGTGTGGGTGAGTGGGTGGGTGTGTGGGTGGGTGAGTGGGTGTGTGGGTGAGTGAGTGTGGGTTAGTGTGTGAGTGTGTGGGTGGGTGAATGGATGGGTGAGTGGGTGTGTGGGTGGGTGAGTGTGTGGGTGGTTGAATGGTTGGGTGGATGTTTGAGTGGTTGGGGGAGTGAGTGGCTGAGTGGGTGAGTGGGTGGCTGAGTGGGTGGGTGGGTGAGTGTGAGTGAGTGGGTGAGTGGGTGAGTGAGTGGGTGTGTGGGTGAGTGGGTGTGTGAGTGAATGGGTGAGTGGGTGAGTGAGTGGGTGAGTGGGTGAGTGAGTGAGTGGGTGTGTGGGTGAGTGAGTGGGTGAGTGGGTGTGTGGGTGAGTGGGTGTGTGAGTGAATGGGTGAGTGGGTGAGTGAGTGGGTGAGTGGGTGGGTGGTTGAGTGGTTGGGTGGGTGAGTGGGTGAGTGAGTGGGTGAGTGTGTGAGTGTGTGAGTGAGCGAGTGGGTGAGTGAGTGTGTGGTTGAGTAATAAGATAGGGGCACAAAACTAAAGATTATCATCGCGAAGTGCAGCGAACCCATTACACCGCGTGACGTCACCGAGGAGCACCCCCCAAGGTCATGCGCGATGACGCCATCGCGCAAGAACGCTCACCGTCAAAGTGACGTCACGCGCGCCGAACGTCAGTCGCCGCGGTGAGCTTCCTTTGACGCGAGCGGCATGACGTCATCGCGCCCCGTTGACGCCCCTTGCTGACCGTGCGCGATGACGTCACCGCGCAAGCTGTCCGTTTAAAATTACTGTGCTCATCTCCGTGACGACATCGCGCGAAGTGGTCGGTGACGTCACCGCTGTTTGAGCACGCATGTTATTCCTCACGCATCGTGACGTCATCACGCAGGTCTACGCGGTGACGTAACCAGAACCCCCCCTCCCTCGCTTACACCTGCCCGCTGTAGTTACACCCACGCACGATGCCCCCTTCCCCCCTCGTGACGTCATCACGCACGCGTGCGCACTGACGTCACCTCATGTTGCAGCACGCACGATGTACCCTTCCCCCTCGTGACGTCATCGCGCAGGCTTACGCGGTGACGTCACGGAAACCACCCACTCACACCGCCTTCACCGCCTGTTTTTGCCCGCTGTAGATGCCCACACTACTGAGTGACGTCATCACGCAGGCTGTACGTGATGACGTCACGAGAACCACCACTCCATACCTGCCCGCTTTAGTAACCCCGCCCCGCTGAGTGACGTCATCACGCAGGCTGTGCGTGATGGCGTCACTAGAACACCCCTCCATACCTGCCCGCTTGTAGTAACCCACCTCGCTGTGCTACGTCATCACGCAGGCTGTACGTGATGACGTCACGAGAGCCCACCACTCCATACCTGCCCGGCTGCCCGTTTGAAGTAACCCCACCCCGCTGAGTGACGTCATCACGCAGACTCTACGTGGTGACGTCACGAGAACCACCGCTCCATACCTGCCCGCTTCAGTAACCCCGCTGAGCGACGTCATCACGCACAGCCTGCGTGATGACGTCACTAGAACACCCCTCCATACCTGCCCGCTTTAGTAACCCCACCCCGCTGTGCTACGTCATCACGCAGGCTGTACGTGATGACGTCACTAGAACACCACTCCATACCTGCCCGCTTCAGTAACCCCACCCCGCTGAGTGACGTCATCACGCAGGCTGTACGTGATGACGTCACGAGCCCCCCCCTCCCTCCCCCACACCTGCCTGTTGTAGTTACACTTCCCGCCAGGTATTGGAGCGGCGCGGAACGCGGAACGGAGACGACCCCGCCCGTTGTTGATTGACTCGCACCCGGAGAAAGACCTTTATGTAAAGCCATCGATTACTTTAGATTCACACGGAGAGAGAGAGAGGGGAGAAGAGGAGATTTTATTTTAAAAACAACAACAAAAAAATCATGTTTCTCCTCACGGCGCTCTGCGTGCTGGCGGCGTCTCGAGGTGAGTTCGCGTGGCCGCGCCAACAGGCGGCGGCTGGTGAGGGGGAGTTCGTGAGGGGACAAAGGGGACGTTGTCGTGGTGGTGGTTGTGGTTGTTGTGGTGGTGGTTGTGGTGGTGGTGGTTGGGGGTGGTTGTGGTGGTGGTTGTGGTGGTGGTTGTAGGTGGTTTGGTGTTAGGTGGTTGGTGTTGGTGGTCATGGTGGTTGTGGTGGTGGTTGTTGATGGTGGGTGGGTGGGTGGTTGGCGGTGGTGGTTGATGGTGGATTGGTGGTTGATGGTGGTGGTTGGTGGTGGTGGTGGTGGTGGTGGTCGATGATGGTGGTGGTTGTTGGTGGTGGTTGATGGTGGGTTGGTGGTTGATGGTGGGTTGGTGGTGGTGGTTGATGGGTTGGTGGTGGTTGGTGGTTGATGGTGGGTGGGTTGGTGGTAGTTGATGGTGGGTGGGTGGTTGTGGTGGTTGTTGTGGGTGGGTGGTGGTGGTTGATGGTGGGTTGGTAGTGGTGGTTGATGGTGGGTTGGTAGTGGTGGTTGATGGTGGTTGTGGGTGGTGGTGGTTGATGGTGGGTTAGTGGTGGTTGTTAATGGTGGGTTGGTAGTGGTGGTTGATGGTTTGTGGTGGTTGGTGGGTTGGTGGTTGGTCGTGGTTGGAGTTGTTAATGGTGGTTGATGGTGGATTGGTGGTTGGTGGGTGGGTGGTGGTGGTTGTGGTGGTTGATGGTGTATTGGTGGTTGGTGGTGGGTGGTGGTTGATGGTGGTGGTTGGTGGTGGTGGTTGTTGGGTTGGTGGTGGTTGATGGTGGGTTGGTGGTGGTTGGTGGTGGTGGGTTGATAGTGGATTGGTGGTTGGTGGGTGGGTTGTGGTGGTGGTGGTTGGTGGGTGGGTGGTGGTTGGTGGGTGGTGGTTGTGGTGATGGTGGGTGGTGATGGTGGGTGGTGGTGGTTGTTGGTGGTGGTTGATGGTGGGTTGGTGGTGGTGTTGTTGGGTTGGTGGTGGTTGATGGTGGGTTGGTAGTGGTGGTTGTTGGAGGGTGGTGGTGGTTGATGGTGGGTTGGTGGGTGGTGGTGGTGGATGGTTGATGGTTGTGGGTTGGTGGTAGGTGGTTGGTTGTGGTGGTGGTTGATGGTGGGTTGGTAGTTGTGGTTGATGGTGGGTGGGTGGTGGTTGTGGTTGGCGGTGGTGGTCATGGTGGTTGATGGTCGATTGGTGGTTGGTGGTGGTGGTTGATGGTTGGTGGTGGTTGATGGTGGGTTGGTGGTGGTTGTTGATGGTGGATTGGTGGGTGGTGGTGGTGGTTGATGGTGGGTTGGTAGTGGTTTGGTGGGTGGTTGTTGATGGTGGGTGGTGGTGGTTGATGTTGGGTTGGTGGTTATTACTTCTATTAATTTTATTTTTTACCTACGTGACTTAGAATAAACCGATGTGAAAAAAACTAGGTATAAATAATATTGATGTAGTTTATACCTAGTTTTTTTCACATCGGTTTATTGTATGGTAGGAGGGTAGAAGCAGTTACTTAGCATCAACATGTTAAATTCCTCTGTTGATATGTAAATTCCTTTGTCAAGGCGCTCTGCTCCACCCACCCAGCTTAAAATACGCTGCCAAGCTTAACGATGTTTCATTAGGACGCTGTCTTTCCGACAGCTCTGTTCTTCACCTGAGGACGGCTGCTTGTGTTGTGGCCGAAACGTCGTGAGAATTGTATAATGTTTTATTTTTATTATTTTGTTATTTCCCTTCTACGTGACTTTACCGAAAGATCCAAGAATATAGTCTTACGACTTGAGATTTTAACTGCAGATTCACTGTCGCTACATTGTGCAGATTGTTAACAGCACTGTGCTAATGCCTCAACATTGAGAGAGGGGAAATAATAAAATAATAAAAATAAAACATAATAAAATAATTCTCACGAAGTTTCGGCCACAACGCAAGCTGCCGTCTTCAGGTGGACCTGTTATTCACCTGAAGACGGCTGCTTGCGTTGTGGCCGAAACGTCGTGAGAATTGTATTTTATTATGTTTTATTATTTTATTATTTCCATTCTACGTGACTTTACCGAAAGAACCAAGAAGATGAATCCCTGCAGTCACGAAAGCTTTAAATCGAAATTTATTGTCTATTTGTTTGTGTTTCTCCCTTGCGATGGGACTTTGTATGATGAACGTTGAGATTCATAAGGGCACGGGGTGACCAGTAAGATCTGAATTGGTCTGTAATAAGGTAGGGGCACTGATAAGGGGTTGACAGGCATGCTACACCACATTTTCAACCATCGTCATCTTCTGTACAACTTTTATAATTGTTGTAAAGTGCCTTTGAAATAAAACGTTTATCTCCATATATAAAAGGCTAAGTTGTGAGTATGTGTGTCTGTTCAAAATGTTTAGCATACTTCCTGACATGCAACAAACTTGAAATTTGCCATGTGGGTACTTTCCAGACTGTACACCATGCAAACATTATAAAAATACATTTTTTTTGGTGTGGGGAGCTCAATAATGCATTTTTTTTGCACGGCAAGTGAGCTGTGACGTCAAAACTGTCACGTGACCCGCGCGTTTGGTAGCGTCACGCATTGTAGTGTAGTGGGTAGCGCGCCACCGCGCTACGAACCCGGCGATCCGAGTTCGATTCCCGCTCACGGCCACCACCGGTGACGATTATTTGAACCGGTCCTGTGCCTCCCCTCGGTCGACTCAGCCTCAAACGAGTAAGTGGGGTGTTGTGTGTGAACATCGCCACTGGGGAGACAAAGGCGGCTGGGCGTGGTGTATCCAAGTCCCGGGCGAAGCCGGGTAGTGCAGTTAGTGTATGGTACATATATAAATCCACGTTAAAGTTACGTCTTAAGTCTAGACTGTATAAAAGATGTATAGTTAAGATGTATACAGCGCCCACAATACATAAATCTACCTAATATTTCTATATCTCAAGTCTATATATAAATCATCCCACAATCCTGTTAAACAATGCGGATTAGGTCATCGCGTTTACTGCCCGTCCAGGGGCACATCTATATATAGGACTGGTTGTTTATTGTCTCTCTCGTTACAACAACTCCACCATTTCGTGCATCTCATTAGCTCAGTACATGGAACAGTAAGCAGATTACATCACCAAAGTAATAGGATTACATTAACGACGTCGACCGGTTTTACATTACTCTTGGTTCTTTCGGTAAAGTCACGTATAAAGATAAAATAATAAATTAAATAATAGCATGATCTTATTTAAAAGATAAAATAATAAATTAAATAATAGCATGCTGTTAATTTATTTATTATAAATTACATTATAGCATGCAAATATTTAATTCATTATTTTATCTTTATACGTGACTTTAATTTATTATAAATTAAATTAAATAATAGCATGCTAATATTTACTTTAGTACTTTATCTTTATACGTGACTTTACCGAAAGAACCAAGAGTAATTGCTGCAGTCACGAAAGCTCCAAATTAAGATCGGTTTTACATTAAGGAATCACGTTACATTACGTATCACGGATTACAGTGGCGTTAATCTAGAATCCACAATGGAGTTAATCTGGAATTAATTGTGGAGTTAATCCGAAATCCACAGTGGCGTTAATCTGAAATCCAGCCATCATCAATCCACTGCTGTATTGAACCCCTGTCTCAATTTTCTATTTAAAGCTTTCGTGACTGCAGGGATTCATCTTCTTGGTTCTATCGGTAAAGTGACGTAGAATGGAAATAATAAAATATTAAAAATAAAACATTATACAATTCTCACGACGTTTCGGCCACAACGCAAGCAGCCGTCCTCAGGTGAAGAACAGGTCTGTCGTTAAGACGGCGTCTGAATGAAACACCACCAGGCTTGGAGCGTCTATTCATTCAGACGCTGTCTTCCCGACAGACCTGTTCTTCACCTGAGGACGGCTGCTTGCGTTGTGGCCGAAACGTCGTGAGAATTGTATAATGTTTTATTTTTAATATTTTATTATTTCCATTCTACGTCACTTTACCGATAGAACCAAGAAGATGAATCCCTGCAGTCACGAAAGCTTTAAATAGAAAATTGAGACAGGGGTTCAATACAGCAGTGGATTGATGATGGCTGGATTTCAGATTAACGCCACTGTGGATTTCGGATTAACTCCACAATTAATTCCAGATTAACTCCATTGTGGATTCTAGATTAACGCCACTGTAATCCGTGATACGTAATGTAACGTGATTCCTTAATGTAAAACCGATCTTAATTTGGAGCTTTCGTGACTGCAGCAATTACTCTTGGTTCTTTCGGTAAAGTCACGTATAAAGATAAAGTACTAAAGTAAATATTAGCATGCTATTATTTAATTTAATTTATAATAAATTAAAGTCACGTATAAAGATAAAATAATGAATTAAATATTTGCATGCTATAATGTAATTTATAATAAATAAATTAACAGCATGCTATTATTTAATTTATTATTTTATCTTTTAAATAAGATCATGCTATTATTTAATTTATTATTTTATCTTTATACGTGACTTTACCGAAAGAACCAAGAGTAATGTAAAACCGGTCGACGTCGTTAATGTAATCCTATTACTTTGGTGATGTAATCTGCTTACTGTTCCATGTACTGAGCTAATGAGATGCACGAAATGGTGGAGTTGTTGTAACGAGAGAGACAATAAACAACCAGTCCTATATATAGATGTGCCCCTGGACGGGCAGTAAACGCGATGACCTAATCCGCATTGTTTAACAGGATTGTGGGATGATTTATATATAGACTTGAGATATAGAAATATTAGGTAGATTTATGTATTGTGGGCGCTGTATACATCTTAACTATACATCTTTTATACAGTCTAGACTTAAGACGTAACTTTAACGTGGATTTATATATGTACCATACACTAACTGCACTACCCGGCTTCGCCCGGGACTTGGATACACCACGCCCAGCCGCCTTTGTCTCCCCAGTGGCGATGTTCACACACAACACCCCACTTACTCGTTTGAGGCTGAGT